GAAGCTGGGGGGTGGTGTTTCTGTTATTGGCAGACTGATGGGCTAATCTGAGGTCATGTGTGTACAGGATTAAAATAAACCAAATAACTATGCATACAGCTGGGCATATTCCCCCAGCCTGTGCATTCCACACTTATCCCATACCTGTGCCACCCATCACTTCTCATAGCACTTGCCACCTTTACTATACTTAAGTTTGACTGATTTGTTACATTTATCATTACTGTTATGCTCCTCACCTCTAAACACCCAAGTGCTATGAGGCGGGGATCTTTGCTTTGGTTAGGCATTCCAAGTGCCTAGTGCTTGGTTTCACATTGGTAAGTGCTTGCTGATTGTTTGTTGAGTGAGTAATCAGGTAGAATGAATGACCAGGTAGAGTCCTTCTCCCCCATCTGCTCACTGGCACTCTTTCTGATCCTAACACACCCCTTCACAACTTCATTGTTGTTGCCAGGCTTTTGTTGTTCTGATAGCTTACTAAGTCCTTTGAGAGATACTCATATGTGCATCAGTGTGAGAAGGCCAATTGATTTTTGACAAAGGAGCAAAGATACCATATACAAAAATTAACTCAACATGGGTCTTGAACTAGATAAATGTAAGATTTAAAAACATGGAAGTCTTACATGACACTTTAAGGATACGTATGTACCAGAGTTTGTCAGATACATGGTAACAAATTCAGGCAACAACAGGAAAAAAATAAATTGGATTTCATCAAAATTTAAAACTTCTGCTGGGCATTGTGGCACATGCATTTAATCCCAGCACTCTGAAAGCAGAAGCAGGTGGATCTCTGTGAGATTGAGACCAGCCTACTCTATATAGAAAGTTCCAGGACAGCTGGGGCCACAGGGGGAACCCTGTCTGAAAAAAAATTGAAAACCTTTATGGTTCAGTGAACATAATCCAAGAAGCAAAATGACAACCCTTAGAGAAAAGTTGTGCAGATTTTATACTCGTTAAGTCTTCCCTCCAGAAAATACATAAAGATACCTAGAATCTGAAAACAAATCACAAAAAAAGCCAATGAAAAAATAGACTAGGAAAGTGAATAGACATCTGTCCAAAGAACACATATTAATAATCACATAAGAAATTATCAACTTCCCTAGGCCTCAGGGAAATGAAAATCAAAACCAATCAGATATCAAGTCACATCACTAGGGGACCACAGTGAAAAAGGCAAACAGTAACAAGTGTGACAAGAGTTTAGAGGATGTGTAACCCTCATTTGTCGAAAGTGGGACTTTACACTGGTCCAAATATTTTTGGAATATAGACTGACAGTTCTTCAAAATGATGAAAATAAAAATACCAATTCCATGGCTAGGAATACACCCTAGAGAAATAATAACGTAGATCAGTAGAAAATTTGAACCTAAACATTCAGAGTAGAGTTATTCACAAAAATGAAGAGTCCAAATGCCCACCAGCTGGTAAATGCACAAATGACATATCCTTACAATAGAATATTTCTTAGTAATGAAATGGGTCAAAGATTGATACATGCTACAATATGGATAAACTTTAATGTTATTTTATGTGAAAGAAGCTAGTTTCAAAAGAATGTATTTCACATGGTTCATTTATATGAAATGTCCAAAATAGGCAAAACCTAGTAAGACAGAAAGATTAGTGGTTGTCAGAGTATGGGAGCTTGGGACATGAGAAGTTACTGTGAAGACTCATGGGGCTGAAGTGGGGGATACCTAAAATTAGTGGTGGTGATTGTGAAACTCTGACAATATTAAGAGCTAGTGAATTATATGCTCCAGAAGGGTGGATTGTATGCTCTGTGAATTACCTTAACAAAGTTGTTGTCAAAAAGTTCAGGCACATGTGGAGATTAGAATTCTGGGCTTTTTCATTGCCTTTATAATGTGCTACAGAAAGATCAGAGTACACATGGAACAGCTTATTAAAGTTTTCTTCCTCCATTCTATTCTATTTATTTTATTGGTAGGAGCTAAAAATATTTTTGTGTTGCTTGACATCACCATTTTTATTGCTACATCATTTTGATAGTTAGGGATTAGGAAACAGAGACTTTAAGAGAGATGTTCAGTTTGAGGAGTTAATATCTTTGACTGTTACCTTATGGAATAATTCAGACATAAGACTGAAGAGATAGCTCAGTATATTAGTTAATTCAGTGTTGCTGTGACTTATGGAAAAAAAAATTACTTTGGTTTACAATTCCAGAGGGAGAGTCCCTAATGGCAGGGAAGGCATGGCAGCAGGTGACCAGAGCAGGAAGCTCAGTGATAGCATTTCATCACACAGGAAGCCAGGAGAATGAACACAAAGTGGGGCAAGGCTGTAAACCATAAAAACTCACCCTCAGTGATGTGCTTCCTCCAGCAAGATTCCTCCAGCAAGATTCCTCCGTAATCTCTCCATATAGCACCATCAGCTGGGGACATTTCTAATTTAAATCACCACATTCCACTCCCTGGCTCCACAGTCGCATGGACATCTTATTAATGAAAAATGCATTTAGTTCAATTTTAAAAGTTCCCATAGTTATTCACAGTCCCACTATTTCAAAGTCCAAAGTCCAAAATTTCTTCTGAGACTCAAGGTATCTTTTAAATAGAGACTTCTGAGACTCCCTGTAAAATAAAAAAGCAAGGTTACATAGTTCCAACATAAAATGGTATAGAAAATGCATTCTCATTCCAAAGAGGTGGAATGAGGACATAGAGGAAAGCTACTAGACCAAAGTACGACTGAAACCCAGCAAGCAAAACATCAACTCCTATAGCTCCATGTCTGGTGTCTAGGACTTTAGCCTCACCAGGCTTAGATGGTTCTACCCCTCCAGCTTTGCTGCCTACAACACATATTTTTCTCTTGGGCTGGTTTTACTCCTTGTATGCAGCTCTCCTTGGCAGATGTCTTAACAGCTCTGGTATTTCCAGCATCTTGGGTTCTCCACCACAACTCAGGCTTCAGTTTCATAACTTCATGCAATGACCTCTCACAGTCTTGCAGGAACTCCACTGCCACACATTGCCTGACCTCAGCAGCTCTCTGAAACTGTGGAGGAAGACTCCATGACAACTCACTCTTGGATTTTCATGCTTCCAAAGCCAGTATCACATGGATAGCAGTGCCAAGTTCAGTGCAAGTATGGGATGGACATTCACCCTGTTGAAACAGCTTTTGTATGCTGCTGTTGTCTAGGAGTAGAAAACTCACTGGGTCTTTTTCTTTCACAAGTTAGAAGCTTATCTGGGTGGGATCTTGGCCTGAGGGCACTGTTCCATTGTTCTAATGCAGAGCAGGAGGCCTCTCTAGTAGTAACCATGCCACAGACTGAATGTTATGCTGTCTTAAAATATCTTCCTCCAAATAAATTAGTCCATTACTTTTTAATTTAGCCTCATGTGAATTCTTGGGACATGAGCAGAAAACAGCCAGATTCTTTGCCAAAATGTTACACAAATGGCCTCTAGCCCAGTTGTAAATAAAGTGCTTGCTTCCCTCTAAAACCCCATGCAACAGGCCTCTGCTTTCTACGTTTCTCTCAGTACTGCTGTCTTCCAGGCTTCCATTAGAAGTGCCTGTTAAGCTCTGCTTCAACATTCAACTGATTTTCTAGTTCAAAGTTCCAAAGTCTTCCACATTTGTCCAAAAATCAACATGGTCAGGTTTTTCACAGGAACAGCCCAGTTTCTGGAATTAATTTCTATATTAGTTACTTTTCTGTTGCTGTGATACAACACCATAACCAAAAGGGGCTTAAGGTAGAGTGAGTTTATTTTGACTTATGGTTCCAGAGAGATAAGAGCCCATCATAGGGGGGAAGGCATGGCAGCAGGCATCTGGAGCAGGAAGTTGAGAGATTATATTTCATTACACAAGAGACTGAGAAAGCAAACTCGAAATGGGATGAGGATATAAACTCAGAACCCACCTCCAATGACACACTTCCTCCATCAAGGCTATACCTCCTAAAGGTTCCATAACCTGTCCAAACAGTGCCACCAACTGGGGACCAAGAGACAAGTATTACCAAACACTGACAATATCAATTTTGTTTTTACATACCTAAACCTATGGGGGACATTTCTCATGCACACCACACTGAAGGAAAAAAAAAGCCAGATATGATAGTACACATTTGTACTCTCAGCACTGGGATGGTAGAGACAGGTGGATTCCTGAACTTGCTAATCAGCCAGCCTACCCTACTTGATTATCTCTGGGCCAGTGAGAGACCATGTCTCACAAAACAACGTATACAGCACGTGAAAAGCAACAATTGAAGTTGGCCTCTGATTTCCATGTGTGTGCATGTACACACACACACATGCATGCACGCATACACAACGTCAGAGGCATGATCTTCTTGTATATATAAACATAACCAAGATGAAAGTTTTGATTTCTAGTTAAGACTTCAAATTAGGGACCATTAATGGAAGTGAAACTCTTTCCATAAAAAATGCTTAAGGCTACAGGGAGAAAATATGTTCTTCCTAAACAAATATCTGACTTGTAGTTATTTTGTTGTTGTTGTTGTTGATGGACTCTGCCTATATTTGATTATATTGTTAGTTAAGACTTTTGTTTTTTTTTTTTTTTTTTTTTTTTTGCTGTTTTACATGGCTTAGGAGCCATTTATAAAAACAAAATGATGTCAGTGTTTGGTGATACTTGTGATGCAAAAGGAAGTATAGTTATAAGCCATATCTAATAGTGTATATAATAAAATGAAATTTATATTGCCCTTCCTCATGTGGTATGGATTTGAAAGAAGAGGTTAAGTCTATGTGTGAACATCCTCAGCATGTTCACCTGATGGTTCCCGATCTCTTAAGCAACTGTTATATGACACAATAATTTTTTAAACCAATGTTCTCATGATTGTAGCTGGAGAATGTATTTACAGTTTGGTTTACACCAAAGACTGGTGACTGTTATCCTCTTGAAAAAAAAAAAATGGCTATTTTATCTTTCTTCTTCTCTGCCATGCTTACTGCCTGTAGGAAGATCTGCCTGCACTGCAAGTGTCCCCAGGAGGAGCACATGGTAACAGTGATGCCACTGGAGATGGAGAAGACCATCAGCAAGCTCATGTTTGACTTCCAGAGGAATTCAACCTCAGATGATGACTCAGGCTGTGCCTTGGAAGAATATGCATGGGTCCCCCCGGGGCTGAAGCCTGAGCAGGTAGGTACCAATCTTGCTGGGAGTCTTCCCATGCTTTTGGCTTTAAATGTTGTCTTTCTAGTAATTCCTCATACCAGAAAAGGTGACTCTGTTGATGTAACATTGTTTGGGGATAAATGAGTTGGAGATATCCCAGGTCTCAATGGAAAAGAGGGAAACGAAATGAAGATAATCCATTATGAATTCATTGTGTATGTCCATTGCTAAGTCTTTGTAGATTATCTAAAAACATCTTGGAAATGTTGGCGCTGAAAGATTAGATGGTGACACTTTATATTTTGTGAGGGTCTGGGAGAAAGGAGCTACAGCACTGATATGAATCGTAACATTCAGAGTCTTTATAAAGGAGAATGTGGAAGTGTTGACTTGTCTACTTCTTCCAAGTGGTATGTGCTGTGTTTAAATATTAAATTTGACCTTACTTTACAAAGACATTGACATTCCGTGAAATATTTTTGCCACTACCCACTGGCTGTAAATTTTACTGGCCTGGTGAGGATAACTTGACCTCTTCATGACCTGCATTTTTCCCAGTGATGCCCAGCCATTGCTTTGCATTTCTTGGTACTTGGCGTTTTCTCTTTCAGCCATTTCTGATCAGCCTATCAACGTATCTATAAGCTAGACCCTCTCAACATCTCCCTGTGAAATTTTAGAGACAGCTAGGATCTTAAAAGTGTTTAATAACTACTGTCTTCCTTTGAACCGTTATTGAAACTTGAACAGCTTGAAGTTTTATGTCAGCAACTTTAGGTGTGATAATGCTTGCAGAAAAATTTATTTATAATTAAGGAAGACCCAAGAATTCATTAATAACTTCAGAGACACGAGCCTTCTACCATCTCACTGATTAGCCTTTTTTAAAATCTTCTTTTCCCATTTGTTCTACTTTTATTTCTGTTTCTGTGATAAAATACCCTTCGTGGTGCACACCTGTAGTCCCAGCACTTGGGAGGCAGAGGCAGGTGGATCTCTGCGTTCAAGGCCAGACTGGTCTCCATAGTGAGTTCAAGGACAGCTGGGGCTACAGGGAGACCCTGTCTCAAAAAGACAAAAAAGAAATACCCTTCATAATGCAATTGAGGGTAGGACAGGTTTATTTTAGCTCAGAATTTCAGCTTACCTTGCAGACAAATCACAGTGGCAGGAGCTCAAGCAGCTGGTCACATGACATCCACATTCAACAGCAGAGAGAGAAGGAATGCATGCAGGCTTGCTGTCTTGTGCTCAGCTCAGTTTCTCCACTCTCACAGATTGGGATGCTCTGTGTAGGGAATGGTGCTGCCCTCAGTGGACTGGTCTACTCACGTCAATTAACTTAATTGAAACAGTTTCATATAGACAGGCCCACAGGCCAAATCAATGTAGACAATCCTTCAGTGAGATTTTATTCCCAAGTGATTCTAGGGTGTGTCTCTTTGACAGTTAAAGCTTATTATCATATCCATACTGAGGTAGCAAATTGGCAGATGAAATTGGCCTTATAGGTATGGTTTGTCTAGCCAGCAAAGTATTATTAAAAATTTAGTGGGGCTGGAGAGATGGCTCAGCAGTTAAGAACACTGACTATTCTTGCAGAAGACCCAGGTTCAAATCCCAGCACCCACATGGCAGCTAACAACTGTCTGTAACTCCAGTTCCAGGGAACCCAATAGCCTCTTCTGTCTTCCACAGGCATTGCACGACACGGGTGCACTTACCTACATGAAGGCAATACATGCATACACATAAAATAAAAATAATAAACTTTTAAAAAAATTTAACTAGTTACTAGCAACTCATAATGTAGGACTTTTTCATATATGTTTGTGTTTCTGATTTACAATGCTAGGGATTGAACTCAGGGCTTTGCATGCTCTAGGCAGGTGCCACACTACTGAGCTATAAGTTTGTTCATGTTTCCATCTTGAATATTTGGTGACCTAAAATCTCATTCCTATGAAAATACAGTCACGTGGGGTGAGCAGTGGCCATTCTCTTCAGACAAAATCTGATCTTAACAAGGCATTTCAGTTTCCACTACATCCACTTCATCTTTTTGCCTTGTTTTCCCAGAATGCTTTCGGCCCTTCAGCCTTGTATCACTGTATCGCTGTTCTAATTTTTACTGTGAAAAGAATATTTTGGACTAGAAACATTCACAGAAAACATTTCCGGGAGAGTTAAAAGTAGTTCTATATTGGGATATTGGCAGGAAAAATAAAAGAAGTGCTTTCTCATAGTTTGTGGGTTAAGATTATATATTTCTTTTACTCTGTCTAAAGATTGTATTATTGAAGAATTAGTTTTGGAAGGAGAGTATCTGAATGAACTTGTCTGGAAACTCAGATGAGGCACTGGTGACTGAATGTCATTATTTGACAGCTTTCTACTAAGCCATGAGTTTGTATACCTAGGTAGGTCTGTGAGCTTGTTTCATTTTTCTGGGGACCTCATTTCCAGGAACTTCTGTGTGACACATGGTTGTCATTGTTGTGCCTCACCTGAATGACATTGCCTCCTCCTATACTGGGCCCCGTGTTTCCAATGCTAAGCTATTTTCAGTTTTCTTCTTAAGTAGTCTCTTCTCTAAGACTACTAGCCGTCATTCAGTGATTCTCAGATTCAGGGGGAGCTTTTTACTGCATCGATCCAAGGAAGCAGATAATTGTAGAAGCTAGGATCTTGATTGAACCCACAATTTAAATTGTGAATCCCTATAGTATTTTAGAGGCCACTTGACTCATCTAACTGTCTTCAAGACATAGAAAACTAAAATTTATTTAATGTGTTTTGAAAGAAAATGATAACACTGTTAAGCAAGTGGTTAGACTTATTCCAAGTGAAAGGATAGCTCCATCTCTTAACAATTATTCTTTGGGAGGTTTTCTTTACTCCCTGCATTTACTGACACCCGTATGATGCACATGGTTAGAAAGGGAAATTGTTCTCTAAAGAGAGATTATCTTTTCAAGGTATTTGAAGGGCTCTATATTTGCCCAATAAAATGTGAGTCAATATTAAATGTGTTTGAAGGGGTCATGTTGTGTGAAAGAAATGGGCTATTTCTGGGTTCAGAGATTTTTAGTAAGCTGTCTAGTATGTGCTAAGATTAGAAAACAACATAAGCCCCAAAATGCCCTTCCTTAATAAGAATTCTGCTGGTTAATATGTTAGTTGTCTATGCTTTGAGAGAAGTCATGTTTCTATCAAGAAAAATTATGGTTAATGTGAAAATGTTTTGTGCTAGAAGCAAAATATTAAAGACTAGTTAGGGCAGAGAGTAATGTGCTTTCATTGGGTTTGAAATCATTCATGTTAGTCTGCGATCATGGGGTTGGTAATGTATCTTCAGGTGACACTCTTTATTATTCTGTTTCTTCAGAGCATTCCTTCTATTTAATAAAATGCAAGTGAAAGTCATCTCCCATTTAGTAAACTATTCTTGCATATGGGCATTTAGTTTCATAAAAACCCACTAGCTTCAAAACCAACCTTCTTAAAATAGTGCGAAAGTGACAAATAGAACAGATAATGTCAGAAAGGCATTCACCTGTGATTTCACATGGCAGGACTGAAAACCCATCAGAGGTATCATTCAGAACCTCTGCTTCATCTCAGTCCATATTAAAGAGCTAATGTCATATAGAGAACCCTGGGTTAGCTGACCCGAGAGCCACCGTCTGCTTCTCAGTAGCCACCAGAAGTTGATTTCAAAGCAGTTTTGCTTCAGACTCAATTAACAGTTGATAGCCATCCTCTAGAGATGTGTGGGTGCCAAGCCTACAATCGATAATACTCCTGGAAGAAATTGAGAAGAATTATGAACAAGTTCAAAGAAAGCAAATGGTGGTCAAAATTTCTTATCTTCAGCATTTCTGGCTGGGTAGTTCTCATTATAGGAGCAGTTCCATGCATTATGGGATGCTTAGCAGCATCCCTGACTTCCGCCCACTAGATGCCAGGAGCATCTCCCGGTCGTGACAGCCAAATACATCTTCAGAATTGCCACGTTTCTTAGTGAAAGAGCCTGTGGGTGAAAGTGATGTGAAACATTGGATTGTGAGTCTGGCCCAATTAGGACAAAAGGATGGCTCTACTTAGCCCACATTCGTTGAACATCCACCCTATTCTGACTCCTTCATGCCAACTTTTGGCTTGTAACATGGCAAGTGCTCAGCAGAATACAGTGGTTGTGATCCATTGTGCTTAAGGCTGACCCTGTCTTTTCCATTAAGTCAAAACAAGATTTGGAGTGGAAGGAGGAGCCTGCTGTGGGTGGTTTGCCTGTTTGTTCTCTAAAGCAAAGAATAACTTTCCTCCTCTTTTATAAACGGAAGCTTTCTAGTCATAAAAGAAAGAAAAAGGGGTGTGGGGGGAGAGATGTCTCAGTGGTTGAAAATGCTTGCTGCTCAATCATGAGGACCAGAATTTGGACCCCAGCACCCATGTGAGGTGGCTCACAAACACCTGTGACTCCAGCTCCAAGGGATCTGATGTGCTCTTCTGGCCTTTAGGGTCACATACGCACCTACATTCATACAGACATATGCAGACAAATACATACACACATACAAATAAAATAAATCCTTTTTTAAATAAAGAAAATAGTCATTTTTAAAAAGTGGGGTTGGACAGGGAAGAGTCTGGATATGATCAAAATATATGAAATTCCCTAATTAGTAAAAATAATTTTTATTTAATTTAAAAAATATTTTGATTTTTATTATTTTATGAGTATATTGCCTGCATGTGTGTAAGTGCTTCCATATCATGCAATGCCCACAGAGGTCAGAAGAAGGTGTCAGATCCCCTG